ACTGACATTGCAAAACAAGAGTGAATGTTGAAACAGACAGGTAGGGGGTCAGGGGGAGCACTGTAGGAGTCAAGTTCTGAACATGATGCATAATAACCATCACGGCACTCGTGGAGCCCTCCGAGCTTCAGCTCAGGGGATCCCTTCATGGCCTCCTCTGCACAGAGGCCTCTACTGCTGGCTGGAAGTGCTCCTGGGAGCCCTAGTGATAATGTACATCTAGAGAGAGCACAAAGAAGGCTCCAGTGAACCACAGCTCTCATTTTGATGTTGCAGGAGGAATATATTATTAATGACACACACTCAATACGCATGATGATGACAAGCTGCATATTAACGTTAGGGAGTATTGATTTGTCTTCTCAGCAACAGTGTTCATAACAAGATAAATTTTGATGTCGTTTGATTTCCTTGGAAACTCATTCAAAGGTAATGATCAGGAATACACGAGGACGAAAAAAAATCAAACCCATTACATTTTTCATGTTCTGCTTCTATTTCTTTCATATGTAACATTTTTAACTTATGGAGGATCTTTTTTTAGCTACTAAAATATTGCACATTTCTTTTGTTTCATAATTACCAGAGTTGTGGTTCAGAGAGTTCCCATGTCCTGTAGCATTTTATGTTGATTGTCTGCCCTCTGGTTCTCTCTAGATTACCTCCTCACCCTCTTATTTTTCTTTTATAGAATTTCAGATGCTTTATTTCCCTTGAACTTTCTAACTCCTCGTTAGGGTCAAAGAAAGCTTGAGTGCTTCAGATGAGCTGCTTACATGACCAAGTCCAGTTAAGATTCCAATTCCACAGCTATTAAGAAGGGCTTATAATATGTCAGCCCTGCCACTTCTCCTGTGTTCTCTCCTTTAATCTTCTCAGCAGCTCAAGGATGACAATGACGCTCTGAAGGGCTCCAGAATGTGGCCAAGGAAGACACAGACAGTAAAGAATGATTTAGTCATTCATTCAACAAATGTTTATCATGTCTACTGGGTACAATAGTCCTAGGCTCTGGGGCTAAAAATGAGCAAACATTCCTGGCCTCCTGTGACTTGTGTTCTAGTGAGAAGGGGCAGATGATAACAAATAAATATATATGTCAACCGGTGATAAATACCATGGAAAAAGAAATCGCTATAAGGTGGCTGGGGAGCTCCAAGGGGGTCGGGGGTGGACGGCTATTGTAAGCATTCAGGGAGGATGTCTCTGATAAAATGAAATGTGAGCAGAGCCTTGAAGGAAATGAAAGAGAGAAAGAGTCTGAAAATGCTTGGGAAAGCAAGTTCTAAGCAGAGCCAGTGCTATGGCTCAAAGCCAAGAAGATTCAAGTACAGATCTTACAAGGCCTTGTAGGCCACTGAAGGATTTTGAGCTTAACTCTGTTAAGAGAGGGAGGTCACTGGAGTATTTTGAGCCGAGGAATGACATGACCTCATTTACACACTAAACAATTCACTCTGGCTTCAATACAGAGAATGGATTGTAGGTAAGTGAGGCTGGAAGCAGAAAGGTCAGGAGAGTGTCGCTTAGTCATGTCCAACTCTTTGTGACCCCATGAACCATAGTCCATAGAATTCTCCAGGCAAGAATACTGGAGTGGGTAGCCTTTCCCATCTCCAAGGGATCTTCCCAACCAAGGGATCAAACCCAGGTCTCCCACATTGCAGGCGGATTCTTTACCAGCTGAGCTACAAGGGAAGCTGAAGTCAGGAGACTTACAAAAATGCCCTGAGAGCCAACAGTGCCGGACTAGGGTGGCAACAGTGAGCTGTTTAGAGCTGGCTGGACTCTCAGTATAATGTGAAGGTGAAGCAGGCAAGGTTTCTGATGGATTGATGTGTCGTGTGAGAGTCACAGAGGACTGAAGGATGACTCCAAAGTTCCTGGCCTGGAGGGGGAAAAGATGGAGTTCTATGCATTATAGCATGCAGATGACACCACCCTTATGGCAGAAAGTGAAGAAGAACTAAAGAGCCTCTTGATGAAAGTGAAAGAGGAGAGTGAAAAAGTTGGCTTAAAACTCAACATTCAGAAAACTAAGATCATGGCATCTGGTCCCGTCACTTCATGGCAAATAGATAGAGAAACAGTGGAAACAGTGGCAGACTTTATTTTGGGGGGCTCCAAAATCACTGCAGATGGTGACTGCAGCCATGAAATAAAAAGACGCTTACTCCTTGGAAGACAAGTTATGACCAACCTAGACAGCATATTAAAAAGCAGAGACATTACTTTGCCAACAAGTATCCATCTAGTCAAAACTATGGTCTTTCCAGTGGTCATGTATGGATGTGAGAGTTGGACCATAAAGAAGGCTGAGTGCCAAAGAATTGATGCTTTTGAACTGTGGTGTTGGAGAAGACTCTTGAGAGTCCCTTGGACTGCAAGGAGATCCAACCAGTCCATCCTAAAGGAGATCAGTCCTGGGTGTTCATTGGAAGGACTGATGTTAAAGCTGAAACTCCAATACTTTGGTCACCTGATAAGAAGAACTGACTCATTTGAAAAGACCCTGATGCTGGGAAAGATTGAAGACAGGAGAAGAAGGGGACAACAGAGGATGAGTTGGTTGGATGACATCACCAACTCAATGGACATGAGTTTGAGTAAACTCCAGGAGTTGGTGATGGACAGGGAGGCCTGGCATGCTGCAGTCTATGAGGTCGCAAAGAGTCGGATACGACTGGGCGATTGAACTGAACTGTGCATTATAGCAAGGAAGGTTGCAGGACATGCAGATTCAGGGTGATGACAAGGAGCTTGTTTGGGGCATTTTGTTAAGCCAAGAGACTGTCTCCCCAGGTAGTAGAGTGGTAAAGAATCCACCTGGAATGCAAAGGAAGTGAGTTCGATCCCTGGCTCAGGAAGATCCCTTAGAGAGGGAAATGGCAACCCAATCCAGTATTCTTGCCTGAAACATTTCAGGAACAGAGGAGCCTGGCGGGGTCACAAAGAGTTGGACACGACTAAGGGATGGAGCACACACACAAGCTAAATGCAGGTGTCTGTCGAGCATGTGCATACTTTAGTCTGGAGTTCTGGGGACATGTGTGGGCCTTGGTCTAAATGTGGGGAGTGTCAGCAGACAGACAGTATTTAAAGCCGAGAGACGAGACAAGCTCACCAACGGAGGGAGTTGAGGGAGGCTCTTCCCCAGACACTGTCGCGTGTGGTGCTCACCAGACCAGTAGTTTGAGTGGGAGAAGTGGTGGGCGGGAGGCAAACCAGGAAAGAGTGTGCCTGAGAAGCCAAGGAAAGAAGCTGCTGCTGCTAAATCGCTTCAGTCATGTCCGACCCTCTGCGACCCCATGGACTGCAGCCTACAGGCTCCTCCATCCATGGGATTTTCCAGGCAAGAGAACTGGAGTGGGTTGCCATTGCCTCCTCCGCAAGAAAAGAAGGTATTGCAAGAAAAAGAAGGCAATGGGTCACTTTCCTTACTCAGCGCCTCTGATGGGGCAACTAAGCTGAGAGCTGAGGGCTGAACATGAGACACAGTGTGGCGATGCAGGGGTCCTCATGAAGAGGAAAAGCTAAAATGTCACATAACCTCCTTCTCCTTATGCCTCTGTAACTCAGCCTGCCCCTTACAAAGTCTGGATCACGTAGGCCATGTAGTCTCAGAAAGTGGGGACTCACCATTCTAGGAACTGGAGTTTTATCTCATTCACCCTTGTCCTGCTCTTTGCAACTGCCCAGCTCCTGCAAACTTATTTAATCACACCTGTCCGTGTAAAAGTCAGGCACCTCTCTCCCCATCTTGACTGCTGTTCCCACGCACGTGCAAAACCCCTTAGTTTAAATCAGCCTATTAGCAGCTTGTGTTGCCCACTGTAGTCTATAAAAACTCTGTAACCCCTTTGTTTGGGGCTCAGGACTTGAAGTGTTAACTCCTCTGGGCCTGCTGGTGGAATAAACCTGAGTTCTCCAAATTTCCGAGTGTGGTGCTTGGTTTCTCGAGAACTGGTTGCTGCAACACTCAGAGATGCTGGCAAGAGCACCGTCAGGGACTGCTGGGCCCAAAACACTGATCTGGAAAGAGAGGGTCTGAGGAGTTCCTCGTAGAGGGCTGAACAATTGAGTGATGGGTAGAAAGAGACATGAAACCCAGAGAGAGCTTTTTTTAAGGAAGCAGCCTTTGTAAACAGATGGGAATGAACCCAAAAAGCAGGAAGAATGGATTATGCAGGTCAAAGGGGGAGACGTCTGAATCAAGGTCCCGGACGGGGAGAGGGCAGAAGCAGTACCAGGCAGAGGCCCTTGTCCAGATGGGAGCAGGACAGGCCACGGGAGCTAGTGGAAGCAGAGGGGATGCCATGACTCAGTGGGGCGGGGCAGGGGGGGGGAGGGGGCCTCTCTGGCCTCACCTCTTTGCCCATGAAATGAGAACCAAGGCCAAGAGCAGAGAGTGAGGAGGGACAGGACGGTGGACATTTGAAAGGAGAGGAAAGTGAAAGTCGCTCAGGCATGTCCGATTCTTTGCGACCCCATGGACTGTAGTCCGCCAGGCTCCTGAGTCCATGGGATTCTCCAGGCAAGAATACTGGAGTGAGTAGCTGTTCCCTTCTGGAAGGGATCTTCCCAACCCAGGTCTCCTGCCTTGCAGGCAGATTCTTTACCATCTGAGCCACCAAGGAAGGGAGAGGAGAGGCTATGAAATAATCCTTCCGGAGCTAGATGTCCACCAGGGTCGTCGGACACCAAGTGCAGAACCCTCTCCTGAGACCCGTCTCCTGTACAGGAAAGCCAGGTTCCTTCCCAAGCTAGTGGGGATGGAGGGACCAGCCTCCTTCCTTCTCCTCTGGGGTTCATGTCCATCAGGCCTGGAGCCTAAGAATGCATTCCTTGGTGCTAGACCGTCTACTCAGCACAAACACTTCCCTCACCATCAAGGTCAGCTTCAGAGATGTCAATAGTAAGAAGAAAGATGTTTCGCTGAGTTCAAAGCGCCTGACTTCTCTTTGTTCTTTGCCTGTCAGGGAGGAGCCACCACTGAGAAAATGAAGTCCAAAGAAGAAAAAGTGAAAATAATTACAGAGGTGAGTGGTGGCTTAGATGCACCTGATGGATGTGAGTGTGTGTATGCACAGGTGTGTCACACATGTTGGTGAATGAGGAAGTTAGGCCAACGACAAGCATTTCTTGCACACCTACTGCATGTGCAGGGCTTCTGCAATGGCTCAGAGGTAAAGAATCCACCCGCAATGCAGGAGACACAGGAGATGCGGGTTCAATCCTTGGGTCAGGAAGATCCCCTGGAGGAGAGCATGACAACCCACTCCAGTATGCTTGCCTGGAGAATCCCATGGAACGGAGGAGCCTGGTGGGCTACAGTCCATGGGGTCTCACAGAGTCAGATCTGACTGAGCATGCTTTGTCATCATTTCATGAATTCCAACAGGCAGTAGTTCTGAGTTACCACCTCCAACAGGGCCCAGTTCTGCTGAATCACCTGGTCTCTAAGAAATTCAACACGAGGGTAACAATTATAGATTATGACCGCTAATAAAATCCCCACACAGCCCTGCAATTTCTGACTCTTTTTGTGCAAAACATCATTAAACACTGTCTGGAGCAGAGGAGGAAGGCCAGCCCCAGTTTGGAGATTAGAGACCACCAATCAGGAAAGAAAGTATTCCTCTCAGTCTTCGCTTCTCTCTTGGCTCCAGAGCTCAGTAACTTGAGACCATGGAGGCAGAAACGGGACAATATGCTATTTTCAATAGGTACTTCAACAGGCCTGAAGGAATCCAGATCAGACCAGGAAGATACACTTTAAGCAAGATAAGTACTAATAACTTACCTACATCTACCTGTGTTCATTCATTCATGCAACAAAGACGGATTGTGCCTCTGGTCCCTGGCCCTACAACACTGAACAAAACCCTGAGTCCTCTTGGAATTGACACTCGGTCTAATCTGAGGTCCTACTGCACAGCTTTCCATTGATGGAGGATAAAAACTTGATTGGATAGCCAAAAAAAAAATTACAAAGATTTCTCACAAGTCCATTCTAAGTCAATAGAACTTTGACTTGAATTAAGAGCCACAGTGGCACACTCAACATGAATGTCTTATAATCCAAGTTGGTGAATTCCTGGTAGGCCCTGAAGAAGAAGGCTTAAAAGAGGGTGGGGGTTGCACCCAGCAGATGTCAGCTCCATCAGGTCCTGTAGACAAAGGACAAGCCCAAGCCATGCACCTTCCCTGGCTGGAACCTAAGTTCCCCCCTCTGCAGTTAAGGTTCAGGTCTCCTTTAACCTGACGGCCAAGGACACTGATGTGTGGTTAGCGATTAGCCCAGCAAACTGCATGTCATTTCTTAGAAAGCTGACATGATTCAAATCCATGCTTTGTGCTCCAAATTCCAGTAGAAGAACAGAAATTTTCCAATTTTAGGACAAAACTGTCAAATCTGGTATACCAGGAGAGGTTCTAGATTCATCTTGCAACCTCTTTTACACCCAGAGGTGCTTGTGCCCTTGTTTGAAAAACTCAGACTAGAAAACTTTAAAGCTGGAAACTAGAGAAGCTTCAGCTTTAAAAACTTTTGACCACAAATTTAGAAAGCATCACGTGGAAAAAGAAACCAAATTGGAGCTGTTACAGGATGTCTCCCTTTTCAAAAAGACCTGCAAAAATTTCCATTAAGTCCAAACATCCATGGTGATTTCACACGTATCTTCATTACCCTCTACCTGATTGTATGGCTGAAGCCCAACCCTGGAGACCTTAGGGTGATTCTGGCTTCTTGGGCTAGGGGCTTCCATCTGGGTCAGAACATTGGTCCTGGTCGATCCACTTGCTGGTGGCCTTCATGACATTATGATTTTTGAGGGAAGTCACCAGGCACCTCTGTGCCCATAAAGCCTAGAACACAGTAAAAGTGAAAAAGTCGCTCAGTCATGTCTGACTCTGCAACCCCATGGACTATATAGTCCATGAAATTCTCCAGGCCAGAATACAGGAGTGGGTAGCCTTTCCCTTCTCCAGGGCATCTTCCCAACCCAGGGATCGAACCCAGGTCTCCCGCATTGCAGGTGGATTCTTTTACCATCTGAGCCCCAAGGAAAGCTCCCTGGAACATAGTAAGCACCCAATTAATGCCCCAGACCTGAACGAGCACCTGGCGCCATGGAATCTCCATCACCATCCCATTGACCATCTTTCCATTTGGATACAACTTTTCAAGAACATGTCTCTTTAGAGCAAAGCAGATGGTGGCTGTGTAGCTCCGTCAGCTGCCCCTTCACCACATTCAGCATTAGGGGGGTATAGAGTCCAGGCCAAGGCGGTCATTAGAACACCCAAGAATCCCACCCCTCTTTCTTTCTTACCATTTTTTCCCAATTTACACATACACACTAAGTGACCACACTTCCATTTGCATTTTCACAAAGGAGTTCGTTGACGGTGAGGATGCAGAAGAGGAAAGACAGAAGAAGCCCTCGAAGTTTCCAAGACAAAAAAGAAAGAAGCAGGTAGGGATGGCAGAAGCCCATGTCTGCCTACTGGGCTGTCGGTTAAGAGCCCACCGCATGCAGAGGGGCCACGCGGCCTCCCGCGGGTACCAGCACTTGGGATTCTCTGGAGGAGACAGGGATGCGGGTGGGTGGTCCAGGTGAAGGACCCCATGTGGGGCTTCATGGGTGGCCCTCACCATGAAGTCATGGGCAGTGTTTGGAGCATCTTTCCCCTAAGGTTTCTCGCATCCCTGGAGAGAAGTTTAGAAATGCTGGAAAGAGGCGCTTCAGTACCGTCATTGTCAACCACAAATCGGCACTTGCCATGGCTGCTTGCCATCTGCCTCTACCAGGGTTAAATCATGTGCTGCTGTAGTCACTGACCTCCAACATCTCCTAGAGGAGTTCAAGGTGGAGAGCAGACGTGAGGCGCTCTGTGCTCCGGGAAACTGGCAGGCAAGGTCTTTAGATAGTCAGCTGTTCTCAGGAGCTGATTTTATGAGCCCACTTCTTATATCTCCTCGTATCTAGAAAAGCAGTAACCTCCTTCATGGTGACGATTGTTTCTCATGACTAGCAGAAGCTTCACGAGACCAGCAGAAACTTTCTACAAAAAAAATACGTGCTTGATTGCATGTACCCACCCTTTACCAAAATCAAGAATATACCTTCTTTTCCCCCTCTCTCTTTGGAGCAGCTTCTCAGAGGTGCTGTCTCCCAGGCTGCAGTCCTCATTTTGGCCCAAATAAAACTTGACTTGCAGCTCCCAAATTGTGCATCTTTTTTTTTTTAAGTCGACATCATCAAAGGCCATAAACTAAGATGTGCAGTAGATGGCAGTGCAGGATAACAAATGCTGGGAACTCCCACTTTCTCCAACTCCAAGCCCAAATTCCGCCTTGGTCTAAACCAGAGGCCAACCCCCTTCTTCCCGGGCGGAGTGTTGGCTGGTGGTCCCACCCCAGCCCTGCTCTGCTTCAGAAATTGCCCTCCCTGGCTTGGAGCATCCCGGAGCAAGGTCCACCTTCTCAAGGTAAATAGATGCCCTTGCAAAGGAGTCGTCCCCTGCGGAGGGAGGCAGGAAAGATCTCATGGAGGAGCGGTTTGCTCGGGAAAATCCAGACGCCAGCAAGGGAGGAGGAGGGAACGCCATTTTGAGCCAGCAGTCACGTGACGGGGCTGCCTGGCGGTGGGGGGGCCGGGGAGGTGGGCAGGGCAGTGTGAGAGCTGGAGTCTGGAGAGAGACCCCCTTTTCAGCCTCGCCCCCTCACCCAGCACCATCCCATTGGGATAAACTGGGCCGAGGCGCCTCCTTCTCTGCTGGTGGATGGAGAGGGCGGTGGGGGTGGCGGGGGGAGGGAAGTGGTACCCGGCCAGAAGGCTGGTCCCCTGGCCACTCAGGGAGGTTTAACCCTTCCTGCAGGGCCAACCCGGGGCCAGGGAGCCCCACGGAGGCGGCAGATGAGCCAGTGCAGAAGCAAAGAGCTCAAGTCCCCAGCTCTAAGGCCATGCTCACAGTGAGCAGCGGTGACCAGGGTGGATGTGCAACTTAGACTGAGCCGGAGGAAGGCATGGGGATGGAGAGAAGGCAGTCCCAGGCGTGCGCTTTCCAGAGACAGGTCTCATTCCTCCACTGCGCAGGAGCCCTGATCACAGACCACGTGCAGTCTTCCGGGCTTTGTGAAAAATCTGGGGGAGGGTTTCTAGCCCCAATGGCACGTCAGAATCATTAGGGGTTTTTTTTTTTTTTTAATTAGATATCTCAGGTCTACCCCGGAACATTCCTTTAAGTCACAATGTCAGTGGTCTACCAAGTGCCTGATAGGTAGCGGCATCTCAGTGAATGGGCTTTTTGTTTCCCTTCGTTTGCAGTGAGGAAGAAAGGTAGGCAGTTCCCTAACTCACCCAGAGTCCTGTTGTACATCGGGGTTCAGAGGCCAGCCTTTGGCTGGTCCAGAGGCCATCACTCACTCACCTCACCTGTGGCCTTCATTGCTCCTGCTCACCTGCCCACCCTCCTCTAAAAGTCTGGGGAAGGAGTCAGAAGCTGGTTTTCACCTTAGGTTAACCCAGGACATTTTGACTGCTTCTTTCAAATGGGTTTCCCTGGTGGTTCAGTGGTAAAGTATCCGCCTGCCAATACAGCAGAAGCAGGTTTGATCCCTGGGTCAGGAAGATCCCCTGGAGTAGGAAATGGCAACCCACTCCAGTGTTCTTGCCTGGAGAACCCCAAGGTCAGGGGAGTCTGCTGGGCTGCAGTTCATGGGGTCTCAAATAGTCAGACACACCCAAGCATACTCTCTCACCAAATAAGTTGAAGCTGGGATCAAGTAGTTCGATAATTATTTTTCTAGTTCCCTTTCCTCCAAATTTCTACAGAGCGCTATGCATTGTACCTAGAAAAAGTGAAAACACTCATTTTATTTTAGGGTGCCTGGGTCACTCTCTCCAACAAGAAACCTCTTAGAGAAAGTCAGGATCACCACCGATTCCTGTGGGGTGAGGGGGTGCTGGCCACAGTGACCCAGGTGGCAGAGACCATGATTATCTAGATCTGAGTAGGATCGAGTCCCGACCTTTTGCTAAGTGACCCACCTCATCCCGAGACAGGATCTGAGTCAACCAAAGCCCTGGGAGCCACAACCTCTGACCCTCTGCCCACAGCTGCCGGCTGCCAGCCACGAGGAAATGGTGTCGGAAAAATCCCCTGTGGACGACCAGCAGAAGCCCGTGCAAGAGGGCTCTGACACCCGCCTCCTGGGCATGACAAGCCGGCGGGGCGCCCGGAGTAAGTGTCTCAGCGTTCAGTTCATTCAGTATTTATCTGCTGCCTCCTGTGATCAGCACAGAGCAACACGGGGACTTGTCAGGGGAATTGTTTCTTTTTCTGGTATGTGTCCACCACCCTGCACAACACTTCACCCCAGTTCTGAGAGTAAATTTCTAGGTTAGCATCTGTCTGGGAGACAGGATACAACCACAGGACATAGTTATATAGCTACAGAATTTTGGAAGCGCTCAATGAAATAGAAATGGTGCAAATAATCAGATAGGTAGAAATTCAAAGGCAGGTGAAATAGCAAGGCATATTTGTCAGTGATGGGACTGGAATCAGATGTTGGAAAATCTGAGGATGTCTCTGAGGCTCTTGGAGACCTTGCCGCTTGAGGACCCTTTCTCTTATCCCTCCCCCAACCCCTCCCACATCACAAACACACTCAATTCCCCCCGCCCGCCCCCCAGGAACCATGGCCTGTATTTTACTACACGATTACTCTTGCTCATCACAGTGGCCATCATTCATTATCTGCTCATTGTAGGGAAAATTGTAACCCCTTACTTGTTGCTCTAAAAAAAAAATTTATTAATTATTTGGCTGCTTCGGGTCTTAACTGTGACACATGGGATCTTAGATCTTTGTTGCAGCACGCAGGATCTCTGGTTGTGGCATGTGGGATCTAGTTCCCTGACCAGGGATTGAACTGGGCTCCCTGCATTGGGGAATCTTAGCCACTGGACCACCAGGGAAATCCCTGTTGCTGTTTTTGATCAGTGGATTAGACCAGAGAAGAAAGTGTGTTACACTTCTTAACTGTTACATAATTATTACTCAGCTGTTACCCTACTTCCCTGTAGCTAAGCTAGGGAGTAAAATAACTATTGGAAATTAGAGAGCTTTTGGAAGCAAGCTCATCTGAAGTCCGACCCTAAGAAAAATGCGGTTCGCATCCGGGAGCAATGACGCAATGGGACTGGTACAAACAACTATAACAGAACCACACTTTGGCCCACAAAGCTGCTTCTGTTCCTGAATGCACAGAATCATTCATTACCGAAGGTTACAGTTTATCTTAGTGTGCGCAGGCTGCCCTAATATACTATACCGTAGACTGGACGGTTCAAAAGCACCAAACTTTTATTTTCTCACAAATCCTGGAGGCTGGAAGTCCCTGACCAAGGTGCCCACAGGGTCAGTTTCCACTGAGGCCTCCCTTGTCTTGTAGGTGGCTACCATCTCCCTGTGTATTCCCTCTGGTGTCTCCTCCTAGAAGGACACTAACCCTTTTGCATCAGGGCCCTACCATATGACCTCTTCATGACCTCTTTAGAGGCCCTATCCCCAAATACAGTCACACTGAGGGTCAGGGCTTCAACTTATAAATGTTGTGGGGACAGTTCAGTCCATAGCACAACTATGGAGTATTTGATTGTTTTAAATATTTTTAAGTTCAAGGGGGTGGGGGCGGGGAATATCAGAATGTGTCCAGGAATAAAGGCTCTGTGAAAAGTGAATTCTTTCCTTCTTTCTAAAATAGGGGAGATAATGCTTCTGTGTCACCATGGGGGTGATTGTGAGGATCAAATCAAAAAGAGGATGTACAAGCATTTTAAATAGTGTGTGCTGCCTTGGGTGTTTAAATAACATGCATTAGCATTCTAAATTGGAGATTGAAATGGCAACCCACTCCAGTGTGTATACATATGTCCATATGTACATACACCCCCTTGTTTTAAGTGTCCCTTCCCGTTCACGTGACCACAGAGCATTAGGTAGAGTTCCCTGTGCTATCCCCTGGAGGCGGGCACGGCAACCCACTCCAGGATCCTTGCCTGGAGCATCCCATGGACAGGGGAGCCTGGCAGGCTTCAGTCCATGGTGTCTCAAAGAGTCAGACACGACTGAGCAGCTAAACACACACACCTGTGCTATGCAGTAAGTTCTCATTAGTTGCCTATTTTAAGTTGCTTCAGTCATGTCTAACTCTTGGTGACCTTTTGGTCGGTAGTCCACCAGACTCCTCTGTCCATGGAATTTCCCAGGCAAGAATACTGGAGTGGATTGCCATGCCCTCCTCCAAGGGATCTTCCTGATCCAGGGATTGAACCCATGGCTCCTGCGTCTCCTGCCTTGCAGGCAGATTCTTTACCACTGAGCCACCCAGGAAGACCTATCTATTTTATTCATAGTATCACTAGTATATGTGTGCCAACCCCGATCTCCCAGTTCATCCCACCACCCCCTTGGTGTCTATACATTTATTCTTCTCTACGTCTGTGTCTCTATTTCTGCTTTGCAGATAGGTTTATCTGCACCATTATTCTGAATTCCACATATGTGCATTAATATACAGTATTTGTTCTTCTCTTCCTGACTTGCTTCACTCTATATGATAGTCTCTAGGTCCACCCATGTCTCTGCAAACGGCACGATTTTTTAGCGAAAGGGATTTCCATCATGCAAGCATGTTTTCTACTCGACCCCTGTTCTTATTTTTTCCCCAATGAAACTGGAAACATGACCTTATTTCCTACACTAACAACATTTCAGCTCATCTGTTAGGTTGTCTATGTATGGTTATCAAAAGAACTTGGATATTCTCAAAGTAAATCTGATGTCACCAAGGCAACTGCCGAGAATCCTATACATAGTACCCTTGGGGAACTCTATTCTTCATTATGAAGATTCAAATATACACAGAAGTTAAAAGTATAGTGAAGCATATCTTATCCAAAGACTAACAAGATTTTGCCACATTTTTTTCCTTTCTTGTCTTTGCCAGAGTATTTTTAATTATTAAAAAAAAACATAAAATTTTCCATCTCAATTGTTTTTCAAGATACAGTTCAGTAGGATTACCTATATTCACGATGTTGTGCAATAGATCTCCAGAACTAGTTCATTTTGTAAAATTGAAATGCTATCCCTGTTAAAGAGTAACTCCCCCTTTCGCCTCCCCGGGGCCCTGGAAGCCACCATTCTACTCTCTGCTTCAGTGAATTTGATGACTTTAGATATGTCTTGGGCTTCCCTGGTGGCTCAGTGGTAAGGAATCCACTTGCAGTGGAGGAGATTCAAGAGACCCGGGTTTGATCCCAGGGTGGGGAAGATCCCCTGGAGAAGGAAATGGCAACCCACTCCAGTATTCTTGCCTGGAGAATCCCATGGACAGAGGAGCCTGGTGGACCCCATTCCATAGGGTTGCAAAGAGTCAGACCCAACTGAAGCACCTGAGCACACACACACACAGATACCTAGTGTAAGTGGAATCATACAGTGTTTGTCTTTGTGACTGGCTGACTTCACTTGGCATCATGTCTTCAAGGTTCATCCACATTGTAGCTTGTGACAGGGACCCCTTTTAAGGCTGAATAATATCCCATGTATAGACTACCCTTGGCTTATCCATTTATCCTTCATGGACTTTTGGGTTGCTTCTCCCTCTTGACTATTGCTAATAATGCTGTTTTCGATATGAACATGCAAATACCTCTTCAAGATCCTACTTTTAGTTTTTTTTGGATGTATACCAAGAAGTGAAATTGCTGATTCCTATGGTATTTCTGGGCTTCCCAGGTGTCTCAGTTGCAAAGAATTCACCTGCCAATGCAAGAGACGTGAGTTTGACCCCTGGGTCGGGAAGATCCCCTGGAGAAGGAAATGGCAACCCACTCCATTATTCTTGCCTGGAGTAGCCCATCGATAGAGGAGCAAGAACCAATATGGCATTTCTATTTTGAATTTTTTGAGGAAACCATCATTACTGTTTTCCATTTTGGGTGTGTCAAAATTTTACATGTCCACCAATAATGCACAAAGCTTCCAGTTTTTCTGTATCTTCACCAACACTGGTTGTTTTCCTTTTGTTTGTTTGTTTGTTTTTTAATAGTAGCCACCCTCATTGGTGTGAGATGATATCTCACTGTGGTTTTACTTTGTGTTTTTCTAATGAGTAGTGATGTTGACCATCTCTTCATGTTTGTTGACCATTTGTATATCTTCATTTCAGAAAGGCCTATCCTTTGCCCATTTTCTGATCAAATTACTTGCTTTCTTATTATTATTGTTGCATTAGAGTTGTTTACATATTCTGGGCAATAATTGCTTATCAGATATATGATTTGTAAATATTCTCTTCCACTCCATACTTTATCTTCTCTGTTCACTGTGTCTTTCAAGGTACAAAAGTTTGAAGTATGTTAGCCTTTGTCTACTTTAGCCTTTGTCTATTTTAGTCTTTGTTGCCTGTGATTTTGGTGTCACGTCCAAGAAATCCTTACCAATCTCAATGTCAGAAGACTTCCTCTGTGTCTTTCTAGAAATTTTATAATTTTAGGTGTTACATTTATGTCTTCAATTCATTTTGAGTTTATTGTGTAAGGTAAGCTCAACTTCATTCTTTTCCATGTGGATAGCAAGTTTCCCATCACCATTTGTTGAAGATACTGTCTTTTCCCCAATGAGTGATCTTCACATCCTTGTTGAAGATTATTTGACCATATCTGCCAGGTTATATTTCTGAGTTCTCTAGTCTATTTTATTGGTCTATATGTCTGTCTTTATGCCAGTACCACACTGTTTTATTTGCTGTAGCTTTGTAGTGCTTTGAAATCATGAAGTCTGAGCCTGCAATTTTTTCCCTCTTTTTCAAAATTGTTTTGGCTATTTCAGGGTCTCTTAATATTCCAGATGAATTTTAGGATGAATTTTTTATTGAGAAAAATACGATTGAGATTGTGATAGGTATTGCATTAAATCTATTGATTGCCTTCAGTAGTATTAACATTTTAATGTAAAGTATTTAAAGTATTAAGCTTTCCAGTCCATGAATATGAGATGATTTTCCATTTATTTGTTCTTCTTTAATTTCTCTCAGCAGTGTTTTACAGTTTACAGGGTGAAAGTGTTTCCCCTCTTTGGTTAAATCCATTCCTAAGTGTTCATTGTTTTCATGCTATTGTAAATGCAACTGTTTTCTTAGTCTCCTTTTTTAGATGTTTCATTGTTAG